CTTCTAAGTAAGCTAGTTCTAAAACATAAGCCAAATAAATTACCTAAAAGCAATAGATTCATGCCCTCAACTTGTCCAGGATATCAACAGTAACTTTTTATATAGGAGTAAGGTTTAGCCTTCTTTGTGGCATATTAATAAGTCTAAATTCAAGAGCAATTAAAATAATCCTTGGTTGTCAAAGCCTTTTGTCCGACATAATCAGTTATGTTTGTGCGTGCGAGTTAAGAGAGCAGCACAGCTCTGAGAAGCAGATGACGTTTCCTGTTTCTGCAGCTGTGTGTGTGTTTGCCATTTCGTTGACAGACTTTAAAGGTGAGCATTTCTGGCCCAACTCCAGATTGCCAAGGACTGGTGCTGTGTAAGGGTTCTCCAGATCTTTCTCTCCCACCATCCCGGGAGCCCTGGGGAAGGGAAAGGGTGGAGGTTCTGCCCGCCCACCTTGTAGTCAGGGACCACCCTCAGACGACAGGTAGAGCTCTTGCTGGAGAACAATGCGGGGTAACTGGCCTCTCCTTCTAGGCCAGGGTTTCTCAGTGTTCGCTCTATTAATATTTTGAGCCAAATAATTCTTTGTTGTAGGGGGCTATTTTAGGGAATTTAGAATATCTAACAACATCTCTAGCCTCTACTCACTAGGTGCCAGGAGCATCTCCTGCCCAAGTTGTGACAACAAAAAAAAACCAAACTGTTGGGAAAAAACCACCAGACTCTCTGGCAGCTGCCAGGCTCCTGCCCTCCTCCCTCGGTCTCTTGCTGCACAGCCGACGCTGGCCATGCTGGCGCTCCCCGTCCACCCTGCCCCTCCAGCCACCGTGGGAGGCTCTTCTGAGTCTGACATTCCCCACCCCCACCCCACGCCCCTCCTTGACCACACAGGTAACTCAGAGTCCCTGGTTTACGCAACCCTGGTTCCTGTGACTGTCCTTCATAGCACCTGCCAGAAATTGGCAAATAAAAGGTGTCATCACAGGACTAACGTTGATCTCCGCCACTAACTGAGTATCGTCGGAAGCTTGGTCCCTGTACTTTCCACCCTTCATCGTCAACAACTATTTCTCCTCGTCTCAGTGTCCCGTTGATGACCTCCCCTGAAGGCTCAGTCCCCCACCCTCGCCCCCAGTCAGGGAGCGTCCTTCGTGGTGTCCCTCAGGGACCTGGTGCTGCTCCTGCAGTGCGCCTGACTCAGTGTGCCGCTGTGTACTGTGGTTGTTTGATTAAAATGGGATTCAAGCCAGGTGGTAGCTCCCACCTGTAATCCCAGCGCTTTGGGAGGATAGCTTGAAGCCAGGAGTTCAAGACCACCCAGGGCAATATAGCGAGACTCCGTCTCTGCAAAAAATTTTAAGAATTAGTGAGGCGTGGTGGCGTACGCCTGTAGTCCCAGCTACTGGGGAGGCTGAGGCAGGAG